ATATATATATATATATATATATATATATATATATATATATATATATATATATATATATATATATATATATATATATATATATATATATATATATATATATATATATATATATATATATGTATATATATATATATGTCATTTTTATAATATTTTAAAAGTGTGGTTTAATTTATATAAAATTAGAAATGATATTATAACTATAATATATCATCAATTTCATCAGAGCATCTCTAAATCAAAGTTAAAAATTATTGTTTGGTGTGGTTTCAGAGATGCATCTCTGAATTCTGTTTGGTGTGAATACAGATATACATCTCCGAAATAATTTATGTTAAAAAAGAATGTTTCACAGAAGATTGCATAGAGTATAGATGGACTTGTTTCAAAGATTCATCTCTGAAATAAATTTTAAAAAAATATAGGGTGAAAATTAATTTAAACGTGTTTTAGTGAGGCACAAAGTGCATCTAGAAATCTATTTTCAAAATCAAAAAGACATTTTCAGATTTTTATATGGTGTTTTTCCATCACTTAAAGTGGGATTAATAATTCCAATCAAATATTATAGAACTTTTGCCGTTTTTTTGTTAAATTGCCAAAGAATGTTGAATTATTATAGCATAGGGATCAACGTGCATGTTATTTTACCATTATATACCCAATTATTTGTTTCAACTTTGAATCTTTCATGTTCACAAACAGCTGAACAAAGCGTTAAACAATGCCAATCATTGGCTTTTTATGCAAGAATTTTCCAAAAAAAAAAACTTATTGCCATAGATGGATCAAATTACTTGTTTCAAAGGAAAAAATTTCTCCCAAATAAGTAATAAGAAAACTACACAGCTACTGCAATTTACTATCATTAAAGTTACAAAAATTATTATAGTTAAGAAACTTATCTAAGTTTCAAATTTCCAACTACTATTCTTCCTGTCACAAATAATAAAAACCCAAACTTACCATTACTATACAATAATCATGTCTACAATTAAAGATATTTACGTAACAAAATTATTAAGCAATTGAGTGGAAGGTAAAGACAATTGAAGTAGTTTCGTGAACCAAAAGGTTGCATTGATAGAACTTGGTTGCCATTAAATAACAGTAAGTGAAAAATGTTTTAATAGTTTATTGTACTCATCTATCACCTAGAAAAGGCCTCAAGTTTCATTATCCAAATCAAGAGGGTAATTCAGTCATTTGAATATTGATGAGTTAAGGAATCAAAAAAGGCACAATATTGTGATGTTTTGTTAGCTAATAGCAACAATATTTGTAGTTTAAATATATAAGGAACAAGTCACAAGCAAATGGAGTGTTCCCATGTTAGAAGTACTAATAATGCTCAAGCAGAAAGGGTCACTAAACCCTCTGTTAGTACATGTCAGCATGAAGCATATCGGCGTGAAGCATAAGAATGTTTCTTTTCTTTCTTGTGATTGAACTTCACAGAAAGGAAAACCAACTTTGATTCCGAAATCTTACTTGTTATAAATGTGATTTTCGCTTCAATATGATTCAGAGAAAGGTTTGCAGTGAGTTTGGTATCCAAGCTGATCATGTCAAATCTGACAAGGGCACAGCAAACCTGAAGGTAGCTTATTCTAAGCACCAAGATGGTGAGGGAAGAGGAACCTATGGGATGAAGAAAATGATAAAGTCGAGTTTAATTAAGCTTTCGGATATGGAGGCTCTTCAATCACCACCTCCAAAAAGGAGTTTATCTCAATCAAAAAAACTGTTACCTCTTCATGTTGCAACCACTACAGCAACACCGCAAAAGCATAAGCCTTTGCTGAGAAAGTCACCCAATTACATGAAACCTACCATCAGTTCAGATGCAAAAAAAGAGCTTTTACCGGTGAGTCTTCAGAATAAGCAATTTGGTTCAGATGGTAAGAATCTACCACAAAAAAGTTTGAGTAAGTCAAAATCTAGTTCTGCTCCTAACAAAAAAACTGCAAAAACTATGACAAGATCATCTAGTATGAATTTGGCGAGAACATTAACAAAGACTCTTAGTTTTAAGCCATGTCGAACTTCTCCGAGAAAATCTACTGCAATACTGCTGCGTGCAGATATTAATGCACCATTCAGAGCTACCTGCTCTTCAACTTTGAAAGATTCCACATTCCCTGAACACCTCATGCTTAATACTGGAGGCAGTGAGTCAGAGGGAGCTTTGATCATGAAGGTTTGCCCATATATGTATTGCTCTCTCAATGGAAATCACCATCCTCCAGAAAAGCGGCGCTTTTTGCAGACTCGGAAGAGTATAAAGCTGGAAGGTTCTGAAAAATTGAAGGTGCCATATGAGACAAGGAAAGATTTTGATATTGAGCCAATTGTCTTTGAGGGAAAACCTGTATACGAAGAAGCTGATAGGGGTAATCCAACAAGCATTACCTTAATACGAGAAATTGGTATAGATTTCTCTATTCAAGTCGATGACAAGGAAAGGGAAAAAGCACACAAAATGGGAAGATCTGACACTGTCAAACACCTTGAGGATCAAGAAGGTATCAAGTTTGCACTGGAAGGGAATGTCGACATAGCAGAAGAGGAACGTGTTTATCTGGTAACTCCTTTTGCGCCTTGTGATCTCACCAAGTCTGAAATCAATCACAAGGTGGAATTCAAAAACTACTTTCACGCTTCTGAAATTGAAGCAGAAACCAAGGAAAGTTTTCACCAAAAACTTAACGCAGAAGATGCAGACAAAAACCACCCACCTAGCTGGTTTCATGAAGGAATATGTACTGGAAGCTACAGCCATGAGGTTACCTATGATGAACATATTGGATTGGATGATTCTAATTCCCAAGGTACTGATATGGAATGGCAGGAGGAACAGTTTTGTCCAGTCAACCATAAAGAGTCGGATATTGGTTCTTCTGTCATCACTCAGGAGACCGACTCAAAATTTAAGTCCCTATCAGAGGGCTCACATGATATATTTGAAATGTTAGTAGATGACATCCTTGGCAACCATTATGCAGATAACATGGTTGAAAAAGCAATGCAAGGTAAAGAAAAGAAAAACACATCTTTTGATGCACAACCTCATGATACAAATTTTGTCCAAGAAACCTCAAGTGAACGCATACAGGCTGATTATCTGTCCAACAGTACTGATCATGAGTATGACCCACCGTATTTGGAAGAGGAAGAATTTCAGTTTCTGACAAACATAGAAGATGATGTTCGAGAAATTGAAAAGCATGTAGATAACGGGGCCAGTTGTGCCTCGATGGTACTTGATGAAGGTACAGTTCAAAATAGTGAAGCTCACAGGATCAGTGAAACTCACAAGATTGAAGAGAGTCGTAAAGACAGCAACACAGACCTAGAGAATAATGATAAAGAAATTAGCCCAAGGAACCAAATTCTCTCATTTGATGTGCCTGAAGAAAGTGCCATTATTGTTCAGGACCACGAATTACTGGAGGAAGATCAAGTTACAGCTACTAGGTTCCAGACGATATGCTGCAAAGGTGGTGAAGGGCAGAACACAAGCAATAATTGGCAATGGCTAGCTAAGAACAAAAGAATTATTCAAGATGTCGAGGAAATGAGAAAGATCAACCCAAGAAAGCCAAATCTCCTGCCCTTGGTTCCTGATCCAGAACCAGAAAAGGTTGAACTGAGGCACCAAATGATAGACGATAGAAAAAATGCTGAGGAATGGATGCTTGACTTTTCACTCAGACAAGCTGTTACAAAACTTGCTCCAGACAGGAAAAAGAAGGTTGCATTGCTTGTTGAAGCTTTTGAAACAGTAATGTCAACATCAAAATGAGAAACTCATGTAAGAAACAATTCGCCCATAGCTCATGCAAGACCAGTTCAAGCTTGTAGCTAATGCATGCTACTGAGATTTTTTAGAAAAAAAAAGACCTGATCTAATAGTTTTCAGGAAGTGCTACCTTGCCCTGGTAGCAGAGGAGTAAGCAACCCAAGAGAAAGCCAATTTCCACGAGCAATCTGCATGGCTATTACAACAAGTAATTTGTTCTAAGTCTCCTTTTTTGAAGCATGGGGACAATTCAGCTATGTGAATTTTTTAACACGGAAAGAGAAACATAAGAATGGGATTTTATGGTTTCCACTAAGCTTTTTCCATCAATTTATATGCTATATTCTGGAACCTGGTGTTTTAATTTTTGAGTTGTGTTTGTTGCACTAGCATTTTCATGTTATAATATAAGGAGCACTCATGATCCAAATTTGTTAGTATATTCTATTTTTTGTATAATGTAGATGCATCGCTAATATTTTCTTTGTATACTTTTTTTCTTCTTGTTTTTCTATCATTCATCACTAAAAAAATACTGAAATATGACTAGAGAATTGCTCTCATGATAAATTTCAGTGATCGGTTTCAAGGTTCTAAGACCAATGGAAGAATCTATAACAAACGAAAAGTAAAATATATAATAATATTTAGCTTTTGTTATTCAGATTCTGATAGCTAGTACACATGATATATGTGCACTAGAAATTATAAACAGCAGCGATTCAATATTTGAAGAGACCGATAAATAACAAACTGTTCTTTCCACAAGTCAAAATATTCTTATTCATGATAAAGAGCCTGATGTGACGAGTTTCAGAGATTATAGTTTTATTAACTATCATAATGCAAATTGCAACAAAATTTCGACTTGTTTCGTTAAGTTCAACTGTGTTTAATCAAGCACAGATTAAACGTGGAACATTATTTGTTTATTTGAGGTGAAAGAGCTAAAACCACAAATTCTGTTAACTACCATTTAAAATTATTTACCTAGTATATTTATGATTACAACGGTAAAAAAAAACACTTGTTTGTATATAAAAAAAAAAATGGCTCTCATTACCAAAAACGGAGTATATGGATAGAACTGAATTTACACAATTTATAAGTTTTACAATCATGCAAATGGAAGATAGTTTCCACAAGAAACCCTTACCATTCTAGGCTAAAGTATTTTACATAGAATACAGGGTATCACCATTTATTTTGGTTCAGGTAAATGACTATCAATGGCAGGAGTATCACAAATCAGAGATTCAAGTTGTGCACGATAATTTGTCAGAGGAGAGTTATGTGAAATTTGCTCATGCAAACTTACTGTGTGGCCGCTAACATCTGCATGTTCATTTTGTTCCGAAGCTTCTTGAGCTTTGAAGTCTTCATGAAACAACCTAAGGGCATCTGTTGTTGACAAAGACTGCACCGATTCATACAGCTCTTGAAATTCATTTCTCTTTTCTAGTGATTCAACCAATTTCTCTTTTAGCTGATTTGGAAGATGAGCAAAAGCACTTCACAAGAACAAAAGAGTGAAAAAGAAAATAATCAAAAAATCAACTAGTCAGCTAGTAACAGTTTAAAATTCAATAAACTTGCAAAACCATCTACTCCTTTCCCTCAATTCCTTATTATGAGTTATACCAAATACATCAGTTATTCAATTAACCTAAAAAATAAAACTTTGCTTATAATAAGAAACGGAAGGTTGTTTAAAACATTATACCTGGCTACTCCTCTTACAACACCCCAGTTATAACCAGCGTGAACAGATTGTTTAAAACCGATATTGAATCCCTCTTGTGCAGAAGCTTCCTTCGCTGCCATAAGACCTTCTCGATAACCAATCTAAAGCATATGAGGAATGAAAATCAGTAGCTAATCAAAAACAAACTAAAATAACGAAAAATGGATTCTAATTTGTTAAATACCGTATGAAACTGGTCCCGCCTCCTCTGCCACTCCCTATCCAAATCTGATGACTTATTCGCCTTATCATCATCAGAATCACCCCACAAAGAATCATCAAGATTCAAATTATCACCATCACAATCTAATCCCATAACATACAATTAGATACATTAAAGTAACATACTGAAAAACAATAACTTGAACGCATATAGAAAACCAATTTCAATACTTTATAACAACAAACAACACATGAAATTCCAGCGTTCGATCCGTATGACTGTTAACTGTTTTTCGACAAAACTAAACTAATTTCAACAGTTTATACTTTATATATAATAATACCCTTTGTATAGTATAAACTAAAAAGATCACTTAATGCATTTAGCGATTGATTCTCCAAATCAACTAACTGATACAAAATCTTATTTACCTTTTAATTTATGTCCGTGACCATCGTCGGCGGGATTCGAATGTAATTCTAATTTAGAGAATTGTAAACTTTCAGCATAAAGTTCTTCAGCAAGTTTACCCTCCATCTGCAATACAACTAACACAAACTATCATCAATAACCTAACTCTATGACTATAATTAACCATGCTCAGTGAAAAATATCTCATTTTTCTATAATTTGTTCAGTAAGCACAGAATGTCAAAATTAACACAAAAACACGTTCAATTGGGAAATATTATTCAGAAGCAAAAAGGGAGGAAACGAAATGAAAGAGTTGGGAGGGAAGAAAAAGAAAATTAGAGATAGAAAAAACATACCTAGGTGGAAGAATGGAGAAAAGATGAGATTTGTTTCTTCTGTTTCGCTTGCAGATTTTTAGCATAGAAGTGATTTGTTTCTTCTGTTTCGCTTTGGGCCTAATTCTCGTAACCTACATAACATAACCTTACAGTGAAGAATCTAGGGCACCCCTATAATTAAATATGGCATCCCAACATAATTCGTTAGTACTAAAAATTACTCATTTTATTACGATTTCCTTTTCTTAAATTTTCCAGTTAAAAAAAAATTATTCTAAACAAATCAATAAATAAGCAAAAATTTATGTGGTGTTAAAAATTAGGTAGATTTATTTACAGATCAAAAGAAAAACTTTAATTTTATATTAATATTTTGAAAATTTTGGTGTGAATTTTGATAGAATATTTTAAAATTTTGGTAGTTATATTAGAGCATCTTAAGTGGGCGCAAAGTGATTTGTAGGATTTAAAAAATTTATAGTTGATTTGAGTTGTTTTTACTTTAATGATAGTTGTTTATAAAAAACTAAAATTTGACCCTATATTTTATATTATATATGGACCCAAAGTGTTTTTACTTTAATATTATATGTTTCAAAATAAATAGCATATGTTAGCTATATAATTGCCGGAAACTAAAAGTTAGTTAATTAAATGTCATGTTATAGTCATTCCAATGCAAATTCTTTATAATCATCGTTAACTATAACAAATTTAACTATTAAAAACCTACATTAAAGATGCTCTTAGATGTTTTTCTTGAATGTATCTTAACTGGTTTACTCTCTTGTATATTTTACATGGTTCTTCATCACGGATTTGGTATGTTTTACTTATATGTTTTATCTGAACTTTTAAAATAGTTAAATAAGTTATGGAATCTATGAGTAATTTATTGTATGTTTTAATGTACAAATATTTCTCTCTTGGCCGGAAGTGTTATCTAAGGTACAATCTAATGGGAGACCTCATTATATTAGTGTTGCTACCCTTCGTTTTGATTCAACTAATGGGTAGAGAGGCATGACTGACAAACTGATTCTTGATTGTGAGAGGGGAGAAAATTATAAGAACCAGAAAAAGTCGGAAGTCACTTGCAGTAAAAGAGTTAAATGCCCATTTAAGTTGAGTTCTCTGTCAAGCGACTGTGGTTAGAACTTAAGGATTATATGTGGTATTCACAACCATTATCTAGTTAAGGATTTAGACGATCATAACATAATAGGCTGTCTAAAACCCGATGAAATCTAGTTTGTGAACTAAATGACAAAGTTGCATGGTATCGAGGTTCATAGTGGTTGCATTGAAAGATATGGGTATTAGTAATCTGACAACTATGTAGCAGATGTATAAGGCAATATCAACATACTAGTTTACTATTAGAGGTCCATTGACGGAAATGCAATATTTTTTGTCCTAATTCATGATGATATATACATGAAGTTGTTATACCTCCTAGGATTTACCTGTTTATGTTTTATTGCATGTCAATTTAGTAGTTTGGTTTAATTGTTGTAATTGGCTTTCCTCACATAGTTGTGTATTCTAGGATTGAATGCTAAATCGTTTTTACGCATGCATAAAATTATGTGGAAAATAAGGAGGCTCTTCTTTCTAAGATTGCTTTTGTAGAGTTGTATGGAAGTTGCTACAGATGGAGTTGGAGTTTTCCTCATCTTCGGACAATTCAAGGTTCAAGGAACCGGTAGAGTTGAGTAAAGGTTGCTACATAATGGATGCTTGAAGCAAAATTCTTGCATTGGGAAGATAGAAGTCGAGATTGAGTAAAGGTTTTGCAAAATTTAGTGTCAGACGCTATGTATAGTTAATGAGGATTCAAATTTAAGATCTTTATGTGAGTGCAACTTTTCGTTAGATGCATTTTGCATGATGTCAAAACTAGGATACGTTAGCGTTGATGTATATTTGACGGTATCCTATGATTATCAATGTGCATCTTAGCATTAGGAAGCATAAAAACATTTTGCAAAATATTCATGCAGCAAAATGCATCAAAAAAATAATAAGTTTTATGGAAAAATAACATATGTGTCGACACATAGAAGAAGATTATTTCTACGTGTCGACACACTCGTGTTTCAGGTCGGCACATAGAAAAAAAATTTCTCTATGTGTCGACACATCTGTTTTTCAGGTCGACACATGTACTGCATTTTTAAATATTGTAGGCTTTGTTAGATGTGTCGCCTCTGCAAGTCGACACATGACTTGTACAAGTCGACACATGACCTTTACAGGTCGGCACATGACTTACACAGGTCGGCTCATGCAACATATTTTTCTAAATATTCATAACTTTTTCAATTCCTTTGCATTTCTTTTGCTCCAAAACATGCATACATATAAATACTTCATACATGCATCATTTATTTTCAATGATTTTGGTAAAATCATAAACGAAACCTTGAACATACTAAGAGTCTTCTTCATCTTCAACCTTGATTTTATGCATACACACAAATAAAGTACACATAATCATTCATTGTTTAGGTTCCATATAGAATCAAATTGATAACGTCCAATTTAGCTTGAGGTATTGTAAATTGGGTTGAGATCTTAGGGGGGTTTCAAATAAGAAAACCAATTTGGGGTTTTCCTTCACTACCAAAGTGAGGATTTGAATGTTTTGGACAAGATTACTCAAGTTGGATTCGATCGAGTGAAAGCTTTAAAAAGTTATGGTTCTTGCAAAGGAGTAGCGTGAGATGGTGGATCATCTTGGTAAATATTGGGTTACAATTATTTGCAATTTGGATTCGATCGAGTGAAGGTTTTAAAGAGTTGTGGTTCTTGTAAAGGAGTAACGTGAGACAGTGAATCAAATTGGTATTGTTGGGTGACTTGATCAAGCGCCGATAAATGGATGAGAAAGTGTTAGGATAAAAAAAACATAGGGTTTGTAGGGTTGCATTGCTACATTTCTCTTATAAACTACAATTTTCAAAGTAAAGTTAATTTCACTATCTCAATTCGAGTTCGAATTGAGAGAAAACGTACTCATAGCGATGCCGATTGGAAAACTGCCTAAACAAATATTTGTGTACTCTCTCTCTCTCTCTCTCTCTATATATATATATATATATATATATATATATATATATATATATATATATATATATATATATATATATATATATATATATATATATATATATATATATATATATATATATATATATATATATAAATACCATTTGCAATTTGTTGAGTTCATTATTTGTGCAATTAACTTGTTTGGTAAATTCTTTTTAAAACGATTAGATAAACTATTTTTTAAGTTAATCACAATCCTTTAGATTATGGTTGGATTACAATATCAACAAAACTATATAAATTTCCAATCAAAATCGCTTTGAGCACAAGGTGTTTGATAAGTTGCCTCAATAATATTTTTGTGTGATTTATCATTAGATATATCATTGCTTGTTTAGTAGACTTCAAGGGATTAGGAATAACATATATTGATTGAATAACTTACCATTATCTTCGATTGTTTTCACATACGCATATCCGAGCTTTTTGATAGTGGTTGGGTTCAGGTGAATCGATCCAAGTCACTTTCGCTAGCCATTGTGTTTGAAAACAAATTTTTGTAAAGCAAGTTTTTTTGGGGATCTATTCACCCCCTTTAGATAAGTCGCCTTCATATAACACTTTATTTTCAACATTATCTCGAATCTTGATTTTATTAAAAGAATATGTATAATATTGTCAAAATCATAGTGGAAGAGTAACAAATTTTCATTGGGCAATCAATGGATAGTGGAGTAGGCACAAGCGAGGACAAAGTGTCGAACCACTATAAATTCAACATAATATCTCTTTCTTTTTATATTTTGATTAGGAATGCAAGTTTAGATTTAATGTTTCCTTAAAATCGCATGATAGTAGGGCTTATTGCATTGGTAGCGATTTCATTAATAAGTTTAAAGTCTATGTTAGATTGAGATCCTAAAATATTTTTACTTTTGATTAATACTGAAAACTATAATGTTAGATTTCTTGCTCGATTGAAAAGTGTACTAGTCAAACAATACATATGTGCATCTCACAGATTTGGATCCTCTCCTGCATATTTGTTGTTGCTTCCATTTAACTCCTATCTCATTCATTCATCTAAATTTTTCTCCCTTTTCAAAACAAAACTTTCTCATTTATTTATATTTCATTAATTCCAAGCCTTAAAAATAAGAGTAGGAGGGATGGCTGGAGAGAAAAAGCAGCAGATGATTTGTTTTTACACGTCACCCATGCAGAAGGCACGAATACTAAGAGGATTACTAGGTATATTACGTAATATGGTGGTTCAGGCTTTCCCGTGGCGGCGAGAAACCCTGTACGGTGGTGTTTTGTGGTTGTTTTAACAACCTTCTCACGTGAGGTGAGAGGTTATGTATATGTGTTGGCTGCTTGTGTGTAAGTGTGTGGTATGATCTATCTGGCTTAAGTTCTCCTCTTTCCCATTAGGGACGAGATATTTATAGAGGTTGTGGACATAGGGTTTCCTGAGAAAAGGTTACTGCCCACCTAGTCAACGATAGATCGTTTAATCCTTATTTCCAAGGAGGATGTGGGTCAGTTATTAACATTGACTTTTCTCTATCCCAGAAATGTCTTATCCATGTTTCCCACGAATGGGCAATATGAAATATTTTGGGGCGAGGCAGTACTTCCCTAAGGGAAATATTTTATTGTTGCCTCACCTAGAGGCGACCTATAGTCATTTTCCTAGCCATGTCCATTACAAATATAACACTACATAGT